AGTAAATTTGATCAGCTGAATAAATGTGAATTCTGCTGAGCATCTCACCCACCTGTAGCTCTCCAAGTTTTTCTGACGACGGGGAAACAAGAGTGAAATATCCATTTATGGAGCGAGACAAAGAAAGCCGGGCGATCCCAGGGATTTGAGCTCGAGCTATAGGCAAATGATCAACCTTTGTAAGCACATCCAGCACCAATGAGCCCATATCTGTGAACAAAGAAATATTATATTCAGTTATGCAACACACGAATAAATTTAGGACTTCTGCAGGTTCAACAAAGACAAAAGTAAGACTTTTTAAGACCCACTGAAACCCATACGGACAGTACGGAAGGTTAAATATGCCTCTCTAAAAAGGAATTGCCAATAATCAACCATCAACTACCTGTATATAGCGATCTAACCTGTCAAATAAGAAGTCAGCTGTTTGGGTCCACATCGAACTGGAAAGCGGGCAGTCGATTTGACCCCTTTCTGTTCAGCATGTCCATCTCTAGGCCTGAAGAAGGTGCCACTGGAAGACTCTCCCCACCATCTGAGCCTGATCAGAGTCACAGGAGGAGGTCTGGTGATGGTCCACAGCACTTTACTCACTGTCACTCTCAGAAAGCATCTCAGCTGTCCCTCCACCAGAGGAGGAATGCTGCTGGATGGAGACACATCACTGAGCACTGCAGAATGTGGACAATAAGAAAGACATGAGATCAAACAGCGTTTCCTAACTTTCAATACTTGGAATACAGCTGTTTATTTTTTTTCACCTAATCCACGCGCAGCCAGCAACAATTTAACATTAGTCTTCGCTTCGGCTGTCTCAAAATGCAGTGAGCCCCCAAATGCTTTAGATAGATAGAAGCAGGTTTAGCCCTCGCAAAGGTTACGGGGTTACAAGACTTTCGGATTTGCGACAAATACAACCTCCAAACAAATGTAACTTACCTCTTTTTCTGTTGCTTACACCCTTTGAGGGTTTCACCTTTTTATTCTTCATTCCTCACATCGAGAGTGTACTAAATAATGTTATTAATGAATCAAAGCTATCATACTTTGTTGACAGTTGCATTAACAAACATAATACCGCTGAGCAACGGCTCGACCAATCAGAGCCCGGAACGACTTCTTCTCTTTGCTTTGATAAGTAGTGTGAGGGGTTTCTAGCGCCTCTCAAGGAAAGATAGGAAATTACAAGGGAACCAAATGATACAACAAACATGTTGTAATCATAATCCCAGGATTTCTTATTATACAGATTATACTCGTTTTCTTCCCATTTTAGTGAGCCCTTAAGAGTGCAGGTCATCAGTGAAAAGAGGCTGCTTCGTGATCTATTGAATTGTATAATCCACTAAAAACTAAGTTGGTATCAAATGATCTCTATTCACATTTATTGGAGAAAAAAATGCAGATTTTACCGAATTTAAAAGAGATGCATGAATGGAGTACAGTAAAAGTGCTAACCCACAAAAGAGTGTGGTTAATGCTGAAATGTAAATCATTCAAAATAATTTTCGATAATTCAAATAAAGCTGAAATTAAATATAATTATTGGATACAATTTTTTAAAACTTAGATATAATGCCTTGGCAAATGACTGAAATAATATAAAAGTTGAAATGCTAAA